TAAATCATCTCTTTATAATTTAGTGTTATGAACTTGAGCACCTTGAATACATTATACACGAATTTCTAACCTTTACAAGTTTCATGAACACACTTTGAAACTTTACTACCAAAACGACTACTTCCTCAGTATAAAATAATCCTAGATTGTCGATACCGGCGTGGTAGAGAACAAAGGATGTTTAAATTATTTAATTAAATTTTCTCTTGTCTACCAAAGACGCAGTTTTAACCGCTTTTACCGGTGTACGTTGAAAACTGGACTTAGCACATGTCACACGAATATGTAACATTGAAATTAAACTACCCAGGAAACTATCCGTGGATGAACATTGTCGGTTCCGACGCTTTTAAACTTTCGTGTTTGTAAAGTTCTGTCAACTCGTTTAGGAGTCTGATGCGCGCGGTAAGCTTCCACATGTTAGGATATGCAAGATGCAGTCTTGACAAGATTATTACAAGAAATACAAATATAGAATCTTACACAAAATAGTTTCCAGTTTTGAAACTAGAACAATAAATTTCGTGATTAAGTAACTAATTTCAAAGTTAAATTGTTTTTTTATATATTTATTAAAATTCTTTGCATTTATAATACTTCAAATGATATGTAACTATGTATATATATATAAAGCATATTTAATGAAATTTTTAAAATGTTTTCAAATGTAGATTATAACCCGGCTATTTCCACCGCTCCAATATGTAAATTTAACTTCCGTCTCTTCTGGAAAAACATCCCCAAATCATTACGTTTCGCGAAACTTCACTGCTTTTTAATGTAAATTTCAAAAAGAACTTTTTTATATTCTCAGAAGGATTATTACAAATTTCATCTTGTATTATATACAAATAAATTTTTGTTTTTTAGGGCGGTAAAGTCGTTATGCTTTTGGAAGGATGACATTGTACTTCTTTAATAAAGCTTCCTTATCCTGTGTTTCTTAGGAAACCGTTGAGGCACTCGGAACAATGAAGTGAGAGGCAACGAACGCCCGCTCATAAATGGAAGAGTAGTAAACCGCTTGACACAAAACTTCGTTCGCACAACAAATCGTCATTAAACGGGCACAAAGGCACGAGAGCAGGTGGTGGGAATCTAGCGTCGCGACGTCCTCGTAATGAAATTTTACGTCAGTACGGTCATTGAACTCTATAACAAGGAAGTTCCGGCGGTGCTTCTATGAAACTAGGTCGAATATCCAGAGGTGGATCCAGTCCAACTTAGTCTATTTATCCCTTGCTCTATCGCTCTCTCTCTTTATCTTCGCCTTGGTACATTAAACGTTGCCGATTTGGAGAGAATGCACTGTGTTGGAAGAAATTTTGGAACGGGTCAAATTGTAAATCACGGTTTTACAGCGCAGATGTTACAGTGGAGAGTTTGTTTGAATTACTGACTATGTTTATGTATGTGTATGTTTACGAAACCGGCAAATTTTGCAATTAAAAAAAATAATTTAAATTTCTAATTCCATAAAATAATTTATCAGTTTATAACGGAACGTAGAGGAGCTTCATATTTTAATGAACACAGCGTTGTTTACTTATTTTAATACTAATACCCTTTATAGTATACAAAACGTTGGAAATGCATTATATTTCCATTATAATCCCATCATGCTGGTTTCAAATTAATTTTTACGCTTCTATCTCTAAATAAATTTATGAAATATCCAATTTTGCAATTTTGCTAATCCACGTTAATCTCGCAATAATTCCCAGTATTTCAAGATAAACTAAAACTTTTATAATCTCATAGAACTATCAGTACTAATCCTAGTTTCAATAATTCCATTTGGTTATCAAATGATATAAGTTCAAAACAGTACGATAAAACAAGAGCTTAAAGAATATCTCACTTAAATTAATCAAAAATTTGTTATTTGAATAAGAGATAAAATCTTAATTAGCTTTATTATGGAGGAAGTTCAGTGATATGCAAGCGCGCCTAGATAAACTGACTGAACACGCCAACATAGCGGGCCTCGAGATAAATACAGCAACAACGAACAATGTGAAGCTTTGTTCGTTGTTGCCAACACAGGAGGCACCGAAGAAGATATAAGAAACCGCACAAAAAAAACAAAAGGAGTCTATAATTGAGTTCCCGACCGTACAGCCAACAGGAATTACTTCGGAGTTCTACCAGACATCTGGGGTTCTTATATCTTCAGCCTTTTCTTTTTCTTCTTCATCACTTTTCCCGCTTCATGCAATACGCCATCCGTCAGATAATATAAAACAAAAGTATTAACTTTTTGCAGAATTACATTTCTTCGCCGTTTCCTCCGCTATCCTCCTCTCTCCATTACGTGTCTTTCTTTCCCGGCTTCTCTCAATGTCATCTTTTATGCTAAGAATCTCCACCTTCATTTTGAACATGGCATTTCACTTTCTCTCGCTGTAACCCAACCCAACCCAACGACACTCAGCTTTACTATAATTTCAGAAACGTTCTACAAATTCTTATAAGTCATATGTTGTTTCCTTTAGTTCGAAAAGTGTAGAAGCGACAATACCATGATTATTAACATTTGCCTAACTGTAACATATAAGCACGTATTATTCGAACTGTGAGAATCGAGAAGCACGGTGTAATCCAACTATTTGTAGTAATTACAATTACATTAACTCATTTGATGATGTTCCATTAGAATATATCGAAGATATTATATTAAAAGTTATCTCAGCCGTGTTTTCTCAGATTTCTATTTTTTTCTTCCATGCACATCAATATTAAGTAAATAAATTTTCATTGTACTTAAAATGTTACTTTTACTTTTAGAATCCTTACATGACACTGAATAAAGAGCAAAACAAACACTGCAATGTATCCACCAGCTATATATAACTAGCTAATTTATATTCTGCAAAGATTTCGGAATACTCACATAACTAGACACACGACATTTACATCATCTTCAAAATTTAAAGCGTATTTCTCTACACATGGGATCATTTCCTATTCGTTTTTGAAGTTATGGCATTTTGAAGCCGGAGGGCTGATAATTTAATTAAAAGTTGTCACGAACTAGTCGTGGCCGAGCCTTTAGCCTGACAGCAACTTGGGCCAACTTCGTTCGGTTCCCGCTCGATCCGCCTCGTAATTGTGTCTGTAAATGTTTAATGACAACGTCTGAACGAGTTGTTCTCTTTTTGAAAGGAACGTTTCCGAACGAGTGAACGTTCTAGATGAAAATGAATAAATTATTTTTTTAACTGAATTAAAGTGAAGAATTATAGTTAGCGGAAAAAGATGTTGACATTGAAAACATAATTACGATTCACACAAGATTTCACCGCATTGTTTAGCTGACACGGTCCTCTATGGTCCATTATTACATTCCTATCCTTTCCCTGCAAATTCTAGCCGTTTTCAGACATCGGGGCTTAACCACATCGTTAACGTAGCGCTCGTTCTGCTAACGTTAACTATATTAATTGAAACCAAACAACGCCTATACATACAAAGTACATTTAATATGCCAGTTAGCGAGGGGATACTTCCAAAATACGGTTATACCCTTGAGATTTAACTTCCCGTTTATACGTTATTCCCCGCTAACTGAATAATATCAAAGTAGTTCATGAAATAAATCATTAACATAAAATTAATATAAGTTTTAACATTTCTACATACTCGTATGAAATGAGTTTTATTGACTAAAGGAAGCTCTATGGCGTACTGTAAATATTTCAATGCCAGCAGCGATCCTTTGTAGCGAATCAGGTAGCGAAACGGGAATTGTATTTTTGAAAAGCTGAAACGTAAAAGTTTAAAGTCGGATACAGACAGAGTGCACTTTGCGCCACTCCTTTACCAACTCAATTTCTCAAACGCCCAGGTCAAACTTTTTCCGGCAATTTAAACCAAATGGGCTTTAAGGGATTTCCAGGGCCAAAATAACTGTGTCTTTAAAGGTACGCGCGGAAGAACACTCGTAACCATAAAACAGTTAATATGATTTCTTCGGTGTTTACAGTCGGATTTTCAGAAACTATTTGCTCTGGATATCGCCAAACCAGGCTACAACCTTTACGTCGACATTGTTGTCATTACTATTTTATTACTACTTATAAAGTGTGAACTAGATTAGGTATGCTGTAAGGAGTACGAACGAGAAGGATTTTATAGCTGCTTTCATCTCGTAAACCGCAACAAACACTAGAGTGCTTTTTGTTAATTAATCTGTTTATATTTTTCGACATCCTCAATAATAGTAGTTTGTTTGTTATAACAATGGTGGAATTTGAACAATTTCAATGCAACATAACTCGATGTTTAAATTGAACGTTAAAAGCCAAATGTATAATTAGGACTTTGTTTGGGGTCGCCAAAATTCCTGCCGCCAAATTGGGTCGCTAACGTTTCACGTATCTAATAAAAAATTGCCTGGACACTCGTGTTGCCATCGTAATTAATATGTTCTGCTCTATATCAAATTTGGCTCTTATAGTCTCGTAAAGTTTCTCTCCTCCGACATTTATCGATATTAAACATTGATTTAATTTCAAATTTTTTTGATATATTATACAACTTAGAGATCATCATAAAAGTGATGGTTATTAAATAAATAATTATGTTTACTTAAGCCGGAAAGTTTAAAGCTTGGGAAATGGGTGTTTTTTTTTATGTTTACAAAGACCTCTTCGTGTCGGGAAAACAAGGGAGCTAAATCGAATTAAGAGTTAGGTACACCGAACGTGATGGGAATTCGACACGTTTAAATCGTCTTCCTGGACAGCGCAAATACACCATAAAGTATAAACAAAATTATCTCGGCCAAGACTTTGCGCTGCAAACCCAATTTAATTAAAGCTCGTGTCTAGTATGCGAGTTGAACAAATACACGAATGCCCCGAGTCTAATAAACTTTACTGTACTAATTTAGGTAACTTGAAACTACTTCCTTTGATTTGAAACAGATCCTGTTTCATCAATTCCATCAAAAATCCCACTTTTACAAGGTATCATCTTACCGGATTATCTCCTTTCAGTTTCAGATTTCACCCAACAGTTGAGTCAGATGTACGAACATCATGCGGAAGAACTGCAACTCTTAGTATCCAACTTCCGCAAGAGAAACGGAGAATTACGAAAAGAAAGGTAAAGGGATTCTTATTTTTCTTATTTTTAACGTTGAGGCAAGCCAAATGTGTCACCGCGTCTACACTTCTAAGTCATATTGCAGAGCACGTACACAGACAGCTAACAATTTATAGCCTCACACAATAAAGCGGTTTGTTTACGTAGTTACGAAACGTTACGTGCTTCAAACCGCGAAAACCTGATGCGATGTTATCGTTATGAAATAACCGGGAAAACAGAAACGACTGTGCAAACCATTCGACTAACAACTGTAATAAATCAAATGTAACACTTAATGTAATGGCATCCAAAAAAACTATACTAAAGTAATTATAAAATATCTAATTTAGAAAGACGACCATATCTTTAAAACTATTTGAAACAATTAAAATTAGTGCTAACTAGCGCAACCTAGAACTAATTTATTTTTCGATGAAAAATATAGAACAATCTAACGCTGAATGACAACTACAACTAACACTAGCATTAGAACTAACACTAGACCTAGAACTAGAAACATTCGGGTTTAGCCATACGTGTTTTTTAGCCGTCTTAAAACACGTATGGCTAAACCCGAATGTTTCTAGTTCTAGGTCTAGTGTTAGTTCTACTTTAAGTTCAATAAAAATATACAATAATCTAACTCTGAATAACAATTAAAGCTGGAGCAACCATCCTTGATTAATACGTCATATAGATTCGGGGAATACTTATATCGAGGTGTTACTGTACTTAAAATGTACTAAAACTAAAATAGCTGACGTTTTCAAAGAATTTAACCCTTAGAGACCACCTCAAAATAGAACTTATCGTCATCCAAACTACTTTAGCCGAATTCTTCCGTCAGCACCAGATATGGGCAATTTGAAAATCGCTTGCATCGGCAAATTACTTGAACTCGGACTTTCACGAGTTGGTTGAGAATCTCTTTCATATCGGTTTCAGGCCCGCATGTCCCAGTTCCCTCTTCCACACGTGGGAAACTCTACTCCAAGAAGTTGAGATCGACTCTCAGACGCTAGGTGATGTCGCGTCGATACTCGGCCGACAAGTATCACGCCCTTTGCTGGAGAAGTCTTTCTACAGGAAGATCCAGTCACGAAAGGTCTTCACCCATCGCGAGAGCTACGACACCATAATAGCGAAAACGGAAGAGAAGCTCGCGAAAGTAAGTACAGCGTTGCCTCTTGAATATATTAGGATCGGATCGAGTGTACCACTTTTATTATAGTATGTATATTGAATAGGTTGGACTAGGTCGAAGGGGAAATATGAAACTTTTTGGTGGAGAACAAACTAAAATTTGTTTACAAGTACTTAGGAGATGTAACAACAAATCTTTTGTGATACCTACACATTCTAATACTATTCCATAAAAATGATATTTTCTTCCGTTATACCTAACGTTCTTTGTTTTAGTGCAGGCAAGACTACAAGAATGCTTATTTGTCATACCTAACAACGCCCACGACGGATAGTCTTAGTGCGTATTTCAACACTCACAATGCCTACATACAACAGTTACATGCTACGAATGGTATGTTAGAAGAATACGGGAAAGAAACGTTGCCCCAATTGTTGCAGGTGGGTGGTATATGTAAACACACGCAATGCCCTCATTAGTGGTTTGAAAATATTCACCCATAGCGGTGACACGTGCGACCAACAATATCCGATTGACCCGATTAGCTTACCGAAACACACTGAATGTAAAATAAGTGGATGTTACCACTAAAATATATAGCACAAGGCTTAAATAGATTACAAATCAATTTTTTTGATCTTGATATTACGATATTGTAAATCCTCGTTTATCATTTTACTATGTCATACACTGACCGAAATGTTAGGTTTAATCGGGATGTGCTATAAATAAAATGTTCCAAGAAGAATTTGTTTTCCAACCAACTATTTTTAGTTGGTAAACAAACATAACGACTCTAATAAAGTACAACCCAATTACTTAAACTTCATTTTATATATTGCAGAAATCTCATTTTATAACTAACTGTATGGCGTATTAAATCTATTATTCAATCATTATAACGAACTTATGATATAATTTTATTTTCTCTATCAAAGGCAGCTCTAAACGTTTCTCTCCACTTACACCCTATTACCGAAGCTTCTGTCAAAAAGCAACAGAGATAAACTGTCCCGGTACCAGTTTGACCAATTCAATCTCGTCATCGATCGCTCTCCATTACCAAGCTTTTATTCGATACCAGCCGTGTGTACGGCACTTACTATGGGAGTTTGATTCACATACGTCAATCCCAGAAACCCAATCAACCGTCATACTGCCAGAAAAAGTTTGATAATTCGTTCACATTCTTCGACAAGTTTGCCCATACCAAAAACAAAGATTACTTTTCGCCTCAACAACTAACGCTTTTCTACAGTATTTATTAAGGTTTTATCCCCGTAAGGGGTTTTGTAATTTCGATAACATCGCCCCGGTTTCTTTAAGGAAAATCTTTTTGCTTTCGGATTGTTTTGTGGTGAAAGAATAGAAAGCTTAGTAGCCGACAGAGGATATCAGGAACCAAGCATAAAACGTTACTACCCCCACAATTTCCGTTCTCTACATTTTGTAAAGCGCCAACGAAAATACACGTTTTAAACCAACGCAAAAATTGAAATATTTGGAATTCAAATTGCGAAATGAATTGATTAAATAAAATTAAATAACTGGTCGGTTTTGATTATTATCCCATTATTAGCTGAATTGACACAGATTATAATAACTGTATGTTTAATATATAATTTTCTGAAAATCGTTCAAAATATGTAAAAAAGAATACATAATTGAAAATTTCAAAATTCGACTATAATTAGTTGGTGTAGCCTGGTCTTAGCCGTACGTCTAAACCCGATACTTTCTAGTTTTAGGTCTAGTGTTAGCTGTTAGTTTTAACTGTTATTTAGCGTTAGATTGTTGGTATCTTTTTATTGAACGAAAAATAGAACTAATACAAATCATAAGAACGTCACCTTTTTCCAAACAAAACTTTTTCTTTGCAAAAGTACCAAATGCCTGTACAATAGTAGCAGTTAAGCTATGTTGTGTTTTATGTGGGACAGTGCAAGTGCATGGTAGTTTCGTAACAATCGTAACATTATCCTTCAAAAAATGTTCGATTTTTCGACTCTCACTACTTTATTTAGTCTTTTTCAATTGTTTCAACATTCCGTTTTTTTTAATGAACTCATTTTATAAATAAAAGAGCTCAAAATACAGCTTTACACCCACATGTACGGAAGGTCTATCGATTAATTTGACACTGCTTCATGGCTGCTTTATGATGTCAAATGCAAGGGCCGTAACCACAACCTTTGCTGTAACCGTAGAGTAAAGAATAGTTAATCTATTGTGTGCTATAATAGGGTGTTAAAATTGTCGCTTACGGTTACCTCAAATTTAGTCGTAACCTAAAGTCTCTTTAAAGCCTAAACTTTCTGTTTGTGTTCTAAATGAGATGGTAGTATTGAGAAAAACTTATATTAATTATCAACCGAATAGGGTGTTCAGGAGAAATAATCTAAAATCAGGAATAAACAGACCTTAAATTGCAGAAATTGTAATTCTTGTAATATTCATTTATTCAAGATACCATGATAAAAAGGCGTAAGGAATTGAAAATTCCTGACTCCACTTTACCTCAAGCAGAAGTTCGATTATGATGTTCGATCATTGGGGGAGGAATTCCAATTCGTTAGTGCACTCAAGAAGTGATGACACCCAAGAAAGATAAAAATACACATAGAAATTTTAAAAAGTGTTGTATAAATTTAGAAAATATAATATAAATTAGGATTCATTTTGATTGTGACTGCGTTATTTTAGTCAATTAGGCAGTTGAAACATATAACGAACTTAAAATATAATTTCATTTCCTCCATCAAAGGCTTCTTTAAACGTACCTCTCCACTTACATCCCATTACCGAAGCTCCTGTTGGAAAGCAATAGAAAAAAAACTGTCCCGGTTCCAATTTGACCAATTCAATCTCCGCATCGATCGTTCTCCATTACCCAGCTTTTCGCCCGAAATTGACCGTGTTTAGGGCAATACTATGGGAATTGCATTCACGTGCGTCAGTCGCAGACATCCAATCAAGTGTCATGAGCCAAATAAAGTTTGATTATCCGTTCGCGCTTTTTACCTATATCAAAAGCTTTTGTTGCAAGGAAGATTGCTGGCGTCTGACGCATGGATTTGAACCACTTTTCGCCTTGCCAGCTAGCGCTTTTACCGGTTTCTAATAAGCTTTTATCCCCGGTAAGGGTTTTCGTACGTTCGATACCATCATGCCGCGTCGGTTACCTTAAGGAAAATCTTTTTGCTTTGAGATTGTTTCGAAGTGGAACAATAGAAGGTTTTGCGAGCACTTAAAGGACCTTTAAAAGTGGGAAAAGCTACAGTTTGTATAAGTCTCAATGATATAAACTATTTGAAATTAATATTTATGTTATATTATGATAGTTTATTTTATTTTATTACTTAAAGTAAGACTTTTAATGATCACATTCTGATAGAGTATTCATTAACTACAACCCCTAAGATACACCATAGCTACTAGATGTACAGTAGTTAGTGGCCAAAAAGCGATAAAACTTTATATCCCCACCTATACGATGGCAAAGTACCGTCGGGAACATAAAGAGGCCTATAAAATTTTCAAAACACCCACCAGTACGAACGGACTTTGCGTGGTTTTATTTCTTCTCTCTATCCGTCCATTGCTCGCTTCCATTTAAATATCTATTAATAAGCAAGTACGTTCCTTTTCCCAGAATTTTGTCTGTCCTTTTCAGTCTTGTGAACGATAATATCTTGTGTCTAATATATACCCTTTATTAATAATGTACCACAAAATGGCTTTTCTTATCTACTTATGGGACAATATCACGCACACCTTTTAAGCGCTGGAATTTTATTATAAGTTATTTATTACTTGTAATTATGTCACTGCATTAATTAGGAATAAATTATTCAATTTTGTAAGTAAAGGAAATGTCAAATGGGTTCTATTTGAAATGATGAAGGATTTTGGATCGGAATGTATACAGAGAAAAATAGAAGTTAGTTCAGTAGTAAAATTCAAAAATGTTTCAAATGTGAAAAAGAAACTTTAAAGTCAAAAATAACTTCTTAGTTTATATAATTCACATTTATATGTTGAGAGTAGAACCCTATCCAGCATAAAACCCCAGAAAAATTGAAATACGATTTAAATTTAATAAAATATAAAATCCATATTATATGAGGGATTACTTTATAGAATAGTTTGTAAGCCGCTAACAAAAGATGCATTGCTATAAATGTTTTTCAGTAATTAATTATCTGGACGAAATAACAAACAAGTCGTAGAACAATTCGGTGAAGTGTGCCAGGATTGAAAACGGGCACAAAACTTGAAGCTGCAAAACAGTTGTCCAGACATACAGTTTTTTGAACGTTTTTCTTACATAGTTTATAACGACCGTCAAGTTGTGGTATTTATAATATCTTACTTCTCACTTTTGACCAAGAAAATAAGACAGGTAACGCTTCAGTTACGACTCTTTTTTCGGGTATTACATTATTTACTATTCATTAAGTATGCCACAGTTCTACCTGAATTTGAATGCAAGTTTAACAATTTAATTAATTTTATAGGAGTTGGAAGAGATATATTCCGACCTTTGTTCTACTGTCGCCGATTCAGTACTTCAGGGAGCTGAGGTTTTGTCAACAAGGGTAAGTTACAGTTTCGAAACTACTTCCCTAGTCTTGATTAAAATTTAAAATTAATTTTCTGTACAAAACAATATTTTTTAAACCTCATTCAATTAATTAAATACTATAGATACAATAACATAGAAACAATATCTATGTTATTAATTGACATAATGGAATATGATCGCCATTCCAAGTTTCTGGTTAGTTGTCTTCTACTGTTAATTAGTGTATTCAAATGATGAAATTAACAGTCGATTAGTTTACAAAGCAAATGTTAATATTAACGTGTTTGTTTTCAATTATAAAATAACTTCTCTCAGTTGAACCCACAATCACGAGGTTCAAGTAAATTTTGCTCACCTGTTTACATTCTCATTTAACAAGACCATTAATCAAGCGCTATAAATCAATGTAATAATACTAATCTAAATTTGAACGCTATAATTTACTTATGCGAAGTCTGCTAAGTGACGGTAATTCTAAACGTAATTTGTTTTCTGGTTGAAGTTAAATTATTTTAGTATTGGTAAAAAGTTTGATTTTAAATGTAGTCTTTGAAATACGTAGTCGTAAAAAGAATTATCGCTAGATATAAAATTCTTATTTTAGCAGTTATATTTCAAGTACATCGTAAAATTATGAAGTCCAAGGGATAAATCAATAACTCTAACTCCTATTTGCAGTAATAACAGTAAAAACAGATAGTTTTATTATTTAAAAACAACGCTTTAAATGTATACAAATATAAAATATTCATAATATACAACCTCGATATAACGGTAAAACCTCTAGTTTTAGTTCAATAAAAATGTACAACAATCCAGCATTGAATAACAATTAAAACTAACACTAGCATTAGAACTAACACTAGACCTAGAACTAGAAACATTCGGTTTTTGAAGAAAATTTTTGTTGAAATTACTGCCACTTTTCCTAATTTATAGATATAAAGTATAAACTTAACGTTACCGAAAAGATTCTCAAACTTTTAGTCAAGGGCAAACGAAATTGGGAAACTTATCAGTATTAATATTCAGAATGGCATGGCTATCGTGGTGAATAGAGCTCTATTCGTAAAAGTTTTCCACAAATTTCGTGCATTCGAACCTCGTGCAACAAAGCTACCGAGCATTCAAGCTCTTATCATATTCTAGAATAAGCTTGATTACATTAAATATTTAGCCGGTGAAGGATGCTTTGCATTTTAATTTGTAGCTGGTCAGATAAGGGAAATAATTAAAATTTGCAAACTGTACCGCAAACTTAATAAGTACTGTTCGTGTACAATTTACATTATTTTATGCAACTGTTTCAATTGAAATTCTTTTCTTGCAAGTATTTGAATAAATCTGAAAATTACAAATCATTTTCTATTCTTTTCTTAGGCAATGGAGCAATGTAGAAGATACGAAGGATTAGTAAGTCAATGTAAAAGTGTTTCGGGTCCAAACGATTTATCCCATTTAACGAGAGCTTTACCCGTTCCAACAACACGAGGGCATATTCTTCGAAGGCCATTCGTACCACCTCAACCACCCCCATCGGTTCAAGACCAAGCAGACGACGGCACCGAACTACTCAGTGTAAGATTAACTAAATCGTTTGAATCTCCCGCAACCACCTTAATTACTCCGGAAATGGCGTTTCGCTTGTAAATTATATACCTCGATTAGTTATTAACGCACAAGGACGTTTCATCTCGTATATCGAAATTCATTCGAAGTAAATCCTACTAATTACAATCTTATAGTCATTAGGATTTGATTATAATTTGGTATTCTGTATTTCCAGGACAGTATTCCACCCCCACTTAGAGACGAGCTGGTAATTGATCGTCTTTCAGCTGTACAAGTTAGGCCATCATTTGATGCTTTAAAAAGAGAAGCTACAGATTTAGAAGTCCAGATAAGACAGATTCAAGATGCATTGGACAATCTTTTAAGAGTACAACAGAGGTCAGTGGAGGCGAACCTCTTCAACAAAGCCAACGAAATCCAAGAAGACATCTCCATGAAGCGATTTGAATTACGAGTGGCTCAGATCCATCTAAGCGCGATAAACGCTCAGGTAAGTTTCTAGTTTAACGTCTTGGTATAAGTGGATTGAATTTAGCGAATTTATCGAGTTGGAATTGAATTGGATGAAATCAAGTAAAAGGAAGTAGATGAATCCGTTGAGAGAATAAAGAGTTCAGAATACGATAAATTGCGAGTGATTTCAAGTTATATAATGTATTCTGGTCATCGTGTGGAGTATTTAATTTGAAATGATCGAGTTAGGCGATTATTTGCATCTTATAGTAGCTCAAAATGCAAATATTGCCAGTAATTGTGATGAAAATTGAACTATGAATATGCAAACATCGATTCAATGCATAAAACATAATATCCGCGCGGCCAAATGTACCGGAAATCGCGATGATATCGAGGACACACGCGAACCGTTTAAAAGAATATTTATTACGAATAAAAATGTCTTTAGTTTTTGAAATTAAATCTGAAAAAACGATTTATAATTAATATGTCACACGCAACTGCATCAATCGCTATTAGGATGTAATTGATGGACCACCCGCGTTGATTAAATATCGAACAAAATCCCGGAAGAGCGCACTAGGCGTAGTGAACTGTCGCATCGGAAGTGATTGATATACCTTTCAAAATAACTGCGGCTAAATTAAAAAGTTGGAACATCTAACTATCCTTGTATGCAGATGTGCTCTTAACTTGATTCATTATGAGACACCATACTTTCTACTTTGGTTATTCATTACGAATTTTTTAAAAGGTAATTAAAATATAGTTAAAAGTAATAACTTAATGTGATCATGGTCAAATACCTTCCTTGTCATCTTATAGAAAGATTTTGCTATATTATATTAATTCGGTTTTTTTCCAAATAGGACCGTTATCGTAATATTGTTTTTCATGCATTCCAATGAGTTGGTATAGAGATCGGTGAAAGTGTGTCAGTTTATTTACCCGAGCTGCAATATCTGATCTGCTACAATTGGAAATAAATGACAATTGTCACTGTAATTCCAAACATGCATTAATCAAATATGAGTTGTTTTTGCACATCAATGTATCGTCACATGGGAATCGATACTGGGTCATGTTTCGAAAATTATATTTCTCTAAGTTTTGCTTGTGCGTTTTGTTTGTGTATATTTCCAAAAATCTAATCCCAAAATCTTTTTTGATTTTCTTTACTCAATAACTACAACATATTTAATTTACGAACATTTGCAATGTGACCTCATCAATTACGTTTAGGAAAGCAAGGGGAAGTAATTGAGCAGAATATTTAACGTATACTTGTACGAGATAAGTATCCCAATATTTTTTCTGCACGTACACGTATTCGCGCATGGTAAATATCACTTGTTACATACTTGACAATAATTCTCCCAGAAGGCATCTTTGATAATGCCTTCTGCCTTTGATATAAGAATAACAACGAAAACATAAAAATCCCTGGACTTAACAGTTGAGTACTGGAATCGTCTATTGTATACTGGAATCAACCATTGAATACTGGACGTTATTACTGTGTATAGTGTTTCGATCTTCTGGAACTAGGACATGGGATCTGGTTCTAATCACTGTAGAAATTCTGATTTTAATCGCTATGAATAGTTCTAATTTTTAGATACTGAACTCACTGGAAGCTAGAATCATCCACTGGATGCTGCATCCAGCAACTGATTATTTTGATCCTCTACAAAATACTGAAATCATCAACTGGATACATTTTTGATACAGGAACTGATCACCATACCCACTACATTAATAACTGTATACTATAGTTGCCCACGGGACTCTGTAATCAGCTACTGAATGCTGGAATCAATAAGTAAAGTTAATTTATAAATAATTTTTAAGTAAATACTATTGATCTAATGATAAAAGTTAAATCTGAGAAGTGTGTTGAATCATAAATAAGCAAATAAATGTATCTCGGTACACAAGTAATAGCACTTACGCCTTACAAACTCGTAGGTAAATTGTGCCGTTTTCCTTTATAAACCTAAAATTCCAGTCTACGTTGGCAAATTGAGCGAGCGTAAAAACTCTATCCGCAATTCAAATCGAGCCTTGCAAATGCAAAAATATGCACATACCAATGGCCGGATGCAAGCAGACGCTCGTCGGCGTCATTCAGGAAATCAACCACCGAGTGCGAGGCCAACGCCAATTGCTCTCACATCCGTACTCCGGCTTCGGAGCGAAGTTTCAAAGAAAGAAATTAAAACGGCAACGAGAACGAGGTGAAAATCCATGAAAACGAGCCGGAGGGTGAAAAGGATTTTAAAAATGGAACACTTCAAATTTTGATCTGAAAGGAAAGTAAAAAAGTGTTAGTGCCGTATAGGTTAAAAGTTGGGCCATGTATCTTAGAAAACCCGGGTAAGTATTTGCACATACTTTGAAAATGGGATGGGGTGGAGCATCTCAACGGAATGAAACTAAAGCCAAACCGAAAACCTCAAGAGAGCAATAATTTTCGAGCTCGGGGAGCATGGGATTATAGTCAAAGCCAGTTTGTTTACATAAATGTCAGCGTTAGGTTGAGATTACATTTTAAAGGTACTTATAATTCAGCAACACGGCAAAATATAGTAATCTAACTAGTTAGACAATTAAGACAAGTTTCAAAGAAATATAATTAGATGTATTTTCAAGACCTCAAACCGACATATACGTTAAAAGTTAATTTAGGCCACACAATGCATTGGTATATGGGTCAAAGGTTAAAACACAATCCAATTTAGAGATCCGGTAGGAGTGAATTTCATTGTATAGGGGTAAAATTAAAGCAGAGAACACGTAGACGAGACGAATGAGGCCAATCTCATTGTTTCTAATTACAATTTGTACAATTTGATTAAGACTTAAACAGGAAATTGAATGACGTCCGCTGGTAAGCTGGACATTATCTAATTTGTTTCCTTGTTAATTTGTAATTAACGGAGAGATTTTTTAATGAAATCTAAAACATTTAAAACCGTCGTTCGAACTTAAATTATTATTGATTAAAACTTTTCATTGAAACGAATTTGATATGATAAAGTAAATTAAAGATCAGATTATTTTTGTATCGGGTATCATCGTTGAAAATCGGAAAATTCGCAGACCGCCGGGATGCTACGAATGCGCAAAGTTCAATTGCGCATTCAGGATTATCAATACAACGTTGACCTACCGTATACTGTATATAGAATGTTCGGTTTTAAGGAGATCCGGAAATCACGTACTTACTAAAATCGTTTAACACGTGTTTCCTCATCCTTTACTTACCTAAACGATCTGTGATTGAAATCGGAGTAATAACCGCGAAAAATAGTGCGTAAATTACGTGATAATCAAACAGGGCTTTACTGACCTTATTCGCCGCAGCAAATTCCCGCGTTTCGAAAACCCGCATTCTCTTGAATTTTGCAAATAAATTAATTAAAAGTAAATCAAAACATTATTTTCATTATTGTTGTAATTTATTGAAAAGTTTTTTAAAACTGTTTGTGATAATGGGTTGGGTAAACCTACGAATGCATTTGGTAAGTTATATAATGAAACTGAAACTTATTTTGAGTAAAATTAATGGGTAATTATTTGATTGTAGCTCGAAGTTATATTTACCTAAGCTAATATTGGCATTCGCTTATTTACCCAAAACTTGTTAAATCCACTAAAATTACATTTTTTATATTGATCTGAACATCGATATTAACGGAATCGTTAATTTAATTTAGGTGGATGCGCCGGTGTCATAAGTTATAATTTCATAATACAATTAAATTTAATTTGATAAATATTGAGAATAATTATTAAAAATTAAATCAATAACTCATTTAACGATTGAACTCGTTTAATTAACCACATCTATTTAATCCAAAATGATTTATGTAATACATATATAACCGTTTTTATTAATATATTTTTTGTTATCTATATAGAGTTTTAAAAAAGCTGAGTTTGTTGACTTTACGAAAAAAAAGATAGTTGTGAAAATAACCGCAATTTAAAACGGGCTCTAAAGCGAAAAGGTCATTTGAATTTTAAAACCTCGGCAGTTTACTAGGTTTCGGCACGGACGGTCAGATAAAATTTCATTACTTCGCCGTGATATCTCGCAAAACTTCCAGAAGGAAGGAAATTGAATGAAATGGACTTGAGGTCTTATTGAAGTTTATCAGGATGTCCCATTTATTGTATGACTGCGCAAAGAACTTTTTTAAAGTGAATAATATTATAGCTACAAGAAAGTTTCTCTTGCTTTCAGTTATATTATCATTTTTTCATCCATAATATTTTCCTTCAATATTAACTGTACATGATCTATCAAAGTTTAGTTTGTATTACACCTGAGTTCATGGTGTATAGTTATTAGTTATTCTCGAAGTGTAAGCCCGGGTCCTCAGGGCTACAAGGGGCATAGAGAACAAACAAGGGATCGGTGAGGCATTTCTGCAAACGCTGACAAACATAGCGGTAAGCAATATTCTGAATACCGATAAACCTCGATAATTGGGTGCTTTCGAGTACACATAATATTCCAGCTCCTAAATAACAATGGAATAATTTCAGACATCTGAAAAGTAATAAAATTCTTTGAAAACACACATTACCAGAGGAGCTTCTACTTTGTAGGAAACCGGTGATAACAATTTGAATTTTAATTCTGTTTCTGTAAAAGTAATTAATAAAGAGAGCAAATTTTCATTTTCATTTAGTGGCAATTCCTTATTCCATGCATTCAAGCACTGCCTAAAAATTGATTCAAAACTCTTCAAAGAACTAGGACTCTTCACTTCTTGAAAAGTCCTAGTTCTTTGTAAAACCCGACTTTTTGTTGAACTTCTGGTTTAAGATACTACGTTTTATAAAAAATACTTTGAATCTCTCTCTGCAATTCAATAATATGCTGCTTTTAGAATTTTAGGAGAAGATAGCAATGTTTAGGAAAAAGATTTGTAGATAATAAATATCAATGAGATGGCATATTATAAAGGACCATCCTTAAACCATATTAACTGGAAATAAAACTAAACCTAGAAAGTTCTGTATTATGCCGTGCGTCTATTAAAACATTGTTTGACGATTTGAATGACAACAACTCAACTTTTTGCTCGTGACGGAAGTTGAAAGACTAGTGACCTCATAACTCGTATTTCTACTGCCAGGACAGAAAAGCTTTCGAGTTAAGGAAATAGTTGGCTAAATAGCCTCAGATCTGCACCACGAGAATTGTGTATGGTCAGCTGCTGTGATTGGGGTTGCAGCATGACGTCATCTACCTCAGCAGTTGTATCATTTGGTATGTAGGGAAGTTCTTCTCGTCGTTACAGCTTTTGATCGCCGATGTGTAGCATCGTGTGTGGAGCTTGGTCACTAGTAGTCACTAGTGGTAGCCGATAAAATACTGCTTAATAATAGTATGCAAATTTTTCAAAAACTGGTCTAGAAGAAACTAATAATTACATTAGTTCTGTTAATTTCCAAGATAGTTTAGAAGAATATAAAGCTATTCCCATACTTCCGTTCGATGTCTCTCAACTTTTCTTTTGGTGGATAATTTTGCTAGAATATTTGAAATAATTTGTTGATGCTGGTGTTGGATGCATTAGTTTTAGAAGCAAAAAGAACCGGGTAGAACTAACAATGAATGGAAACTGGTTGACAAATATGAAAAGATGATATTTTAGATACTCAAACATCATTAAGTGTAAATGGGTATTTTATCTATTTGCCTCTTTATCTCCACAATAAAAATTTAAGTTTGATTTTAATTAAATTGCCTTTATTATGAACATTAAGATGATTCATAGTGCAAATTCATTTATTCATTTACCCAAATATTAATTTAGTATTTACCTAACAGTATCCACATTTACCCTGTTGTACATTTCTGTAATTATTATAACTCAACACATCGATGCACACCGCGGAATTTTATTTTTTATTTGTGTTATCTCTATCGAGTTAAACTAATAATTTAGTTTTATTCTTTCAACCGTTTTAGAATAAATGTTATGGGACATCAAATAAATTTTGCTTTGTGGTTATTATCGAATCTACAAAACGCATTATAATTAGAGAATTGTTTTGACTATCACATAACTTCGCGACCCTTTAATATCACAACCAATTTAAAGTTTATTAATTCCGCTGAGTTGGTCGTTCTTTGAAAGTACCCTTTTAATTCTAGTCTTTGATTACATTTCAATTATTTTAGCGGTACTGGATTATTCAAATTTTCATACTGAATATTCATCGAAGAATAACTAGACCTCTTTCGGAAAGTTTTGTGTACAATAGATTGCGTCATCCGGAATTAAGACAAAATTGATTTTTTTAGGGAATAAAGCTTTTAAGTTATAAAAAGTCTCCATTCAAATTAAATGCTAAATTGGATCAGGAAATTACACGAAAATAACATCAACACTAAAGGTTTTCCCCTCTCAACAAAGTTTTTAATGAATTATCAAGGCATAATCTAAATTTAAATGTGTTAAACTACATGAAAGTTCCATCAACATTCCAAGTCGTTCTCACATTATTAGAATTTATGATAGTTTTGTTATAATAATTGCTATCTTGTCTTGTTGCAGAAAGAACTATTTGCTCATAAATTAGAATCGGGTGACGCGACTGGTCGAGAACGAAAGAATTCTTCGTCCTCAACAAACAGTATGAAAAGTAAATGGATGAAAGCTTTTAAAAGCTTGAAGACACCACCACCAGAAGAAAAGTAAGTATTATTCGTTTTGTCACTAAATCGAGAGAAGTTTTTTGTTATTCGTTATTGAATGTAGATTATTGAAAGTTAATGTGTTTTTTCTACAACTAATGTGTCGTTTACATTTATAAATAAAAATTTCTGGTTTTGGGTGAAAAATAATTACAATCAGTTCTGCATCAAATGAGTTAAAGTTGGTGTTTTGCCTCTACTTTTTTCGATCTTATAACGTTTTTTGCTATTCATGTATGTGTTTTTATTAATCTAGAAAAAACCAAATGTACCATGCCGTCTCCACAATCATACAAATGAGGTAAACTCAGGTGTATTAGTTTAGCTTTCTTGCAAAACCTATGCTGTATACGGAGACCTCTCGATGTGCTTCATTATTCTTCATGCTTGCTTTACATTTTTATTCTACCTATACACTATTTATTTATAAATATGAACATTTGCATGAATTTATTATTATTACCCACATTTATCTCCTTGATTAATTTAAGAAGTTATTTACAATTGCAAAAACAAATGTTATTCAACAGCAACTAAATTTTGGCACGACGTCATATTAGCTAACAAGCAAAAACTGAAGATACATCTAATTCATGACATACACAATTTATGTCTTGAAACTTGAAACTGTTCCAGGCACAATCTCCTCACGGATATTTAACCAACGTTTTCGTAGTTTACTAGAAAACCTTGTTGCTTCGTTGTTTTATTGAACATGAATTGGAACGATTCTTATTTACAAGTTTATAAGTAGCTAAATAATAAATTTGCGTTAAAATTAATTTAATCATCAGACTTCTCCAGAAATTATGGTCTACCCAGGTATTGTAGGATATTAAAAAAAAATTAAAAAATATCATCCAATTGATTTTTAATATAAATAGAAAGTGTCATTTAACCTTAATCACCGCTTTTTGTGTACCTTTCCACAAAAACACAACCCCACGATAAAGGTAAAATAATCATCTCTTTTCGTCGTTTAGCTCTTCTCTTTTCTTTTTCCCCTTTATTCTTTTCCGTTTCTTTCACCACCGCTAACGGCAGCCCCGAATTGAGTTATTTAGTCGCCCAATTGAGGTTAATTACTATTTCTTTCTCTGCCTGTAGGAAAAACGGCGCGGCTGCCACGAGGGAGCTGCTTAAAGGCGATCCAGATGCCCACAATTTCCAAGAGTATACTTACAAGAAAATTACCCCATGTGACGTGTGCTCGCAGGTGTTGCGAGGTGAGTACATAGAAAGTGGTTATAACGCAAGGGGTGGTTGTGGGATGAATTTACCCGTAATTGTCCCAGTTTACCCCAAGAGGAAATCGCGAACGTTGCTTAATGAACCTAGGGAACACTAAAACGGTATCTTAACGAGAAGCCGATACGAGAAGGCAATCAACGTTAAGGTGATCTGGGTTTAGCTCTCGACTTTATTAACATTTCATAAATCGCTAACGTTGTTACTTCTAAAACCATTTTGTTATTGTATTAAAATTAACCCACTTCTGACACTTTGTTATAGGACACACAAGACAAGGTTTAAAATGTAGAATTTGCAAAATGAACGTTCATGTCGATTGTCAAGAAAAAGCAAGCAAATGCGAAGCGAAAGCTAGGTTATTGAGGCGACAAAAATCAACGTCCGAAATTGAAACAAAGATTCCAGATACGACAGCCGACGAAGAAAGTAAGTTTTAATATGGATTATTAATGTTTCGTAGCTATTCTTTTAACGGGGTCTAGTCAACGAAAACTTCTTTGATCAGACTAATTTGTTATTCACACGTAAGGTATAGGAATAGATAACTCATACTCAGGAATGCCGACCATGAATCGACAGCTGTCCATAAAAAGCGATAGTCACATTTTGGAGAAGGAATCCGATTCTATAATAGGTTTGTTCGTTGTGGTGGTTGATTGTTATGTACCTCAAATAACTTCGATTTAATTTTATCTTATACAGGATCATAAAAATGTGTACATCATAACTTTATCATTTAATTAGAATTTTTAATTAAACGATAAATAATTTTTGAATGATTCTGTATAACATCATCCTATTAATGCAAACTGGTTGAAATCTGCGATGTATGGTGGTAGCGGCTTAACGGTTTATTGAAGCGCGACATAACATCACCCGAGACTGTAACATTTTACGGTGTGTTCATTGAATCTGAATAGGAAACCTATCCGGAATCGCCCTGTTAACTTTGTGATATACAATTCACGGTTTCTAGACAAGATAAATCATTTCACACATAACTTAAACCAAATTCTATCTGCAAACTCTTGTTATTAAGTTATTATAGCCGCTACCATCAACACGAATTATATAAAAATTTAAATCCTTCGTTCATTTATTCACGCTTAAGCGATTAACATCGGTCAGCTCAAAAAAGGGTGAAATTCGCATTCGATCGATATGTACACATTCGTGTCGTAAGCCGGTATATCCTTTGGCAGAGACAACAGAGGTGGATCTCATTTACCAAGTCCTAAAACAGGCTGGAGAAATTTCAAGTAGCAGGTCCCGTACTAATTTGGATGCAACTGGGCCTCCTGGTATAACGGTTGACGGTCGAAGTGCTTCCGGTTCAGGTCCCGGAAGTTCTGGAAGCTCTGGACAGAGTTTAAACAGGAGGGCTCCACCACCAGCTCAACCACCGCGTAACCATGGCTCCAGCTTGTGTGTTATCAATCCTGCCCCTTGTTCCACCAGTTCAGGTTTGTCCCTGGGTGTATTATAGAATAGTTAACACCGATAAATGGAAAAATAATGTAACATAACAAACTGAATGTTGTATGTGGTGTTAACTATTCATCAATTAATTTTCTAAATTCAGACAATCTTCAATCTTTCTTTCAACCAATGGTAGTATTTTGAATTGCATGTTCTACTTCTATCCACGTCTATAATTCGAAGTCCCTTTATCGTTTAATTCCTTAAGTCTGGGGGATAACACACTTACTTAAAATAATAATATCAACTAAACCACCCAACACTAATAACCGGTGAGTATTTTCAGCTGTCGCAACAAACCATCACTAACGTTGTCATATTTACAGTTTGTATTTATCTGACTGATTTTTTTTAGCTTGATTAACATTACTGCTTCATAAAAACTTATGTATTGCTCTTTATTCGATACGTTCACAAATATATATATTTAATACAATATTTTTGAAATAATTAGTATTCAATTCCATGATTAACAAAGGCCTGACAATTTGTATACTAAAAATGCAAAGAAAGTTATTGATTATTAGTTACATAATCAAAATTGAGTCATATTACCAATTTCCATTTGTGCACATTTTTGCTCCAAAGACTTACAAGTCTCGTCAACGTCTATTTCCATTCCTTTAAACATCTTCTCGCAACTTGCCCCCTCCAACAATGGACACTTGAAATTACATTTTCCAGTCGCCAATTTGAAAAGACAAATCTCTACAATAAAACAAATCTTAAAAAAAATACACTATCTTTACGAATGTACTCACGAAGAAGAAAATAAACTAACGTAGTTAACTTCATGATTTCTTCTACTATTATCGATGCTGCAATTACCAGATTTTTATATATTCTCAAACAATCAAATTTTTTTTCTTTTATTGGTGCTCGCTCGCTTGTAAAGTAATAAGGATTTTAGTATTGTTCTATTAATATAAATATAAAACGTGACTTGAAAAAAGAACGAAAATCATAAAAAAAAGCTTTTTTCTTTCCACATAAGATTTAAATGTTTATGATTTAATTGATGTGAACGTATCGATCAAAAGCTGTTGATAATCGCTTTATAGTGACGTGAATTTCAAGCAGGATCATTTCAACATCCGGTGGTGTTGAGTCCTGCAGGAAAGCATAGTACCAACGGCTTAAAACAAAAATTTTTTTATTGCCCTCGTTGCTTTACATATAGATCGTAGGCAAGTTACGGGACCATGCAGCTCGGATGGATCAATGAGGAGGAGGCTGTTTGCAGGCATGAAAAGCCTTACAGGATTTGGATCTAGATCTAGACACGGCTCACCAGGGCACCGCTCCATCTCTCTGCCTGAAAGTACGCGAGCCAACCCATTTTGTTTTGTTTTTCCATTTCTGTACCATTGTTTGATTGTCACCTTCCCATTTCCTAAAGCAATAAATGTCATAAAGTTTATCAAAAATTAAATAGGTTTCTAAAATCAAATTGTTACCAAATTTAATTTTAGAATCCATAATTGCATTACATTTTATTCATGTTGTTTTTTCAGTATCATATTAATAGCATTGCTTTTGTGATCATTTCTTGTCAATATCAATATACCCTCGTTGTAAATCTAGATGTGGTTAGTGGCATCGCTGTTCTCTTCTGTGTTACTTCTTTCTGTGTTGTATCGCTGTCGTATTCTTACGCATTTTATTCATTATTTTACATAAAGCTTCAGTGGTAATCGCCCTTTTCCTTATTCCTTCATCTATTATTAGCTCTGAGTTAGCATCTTTATACTCGATCGCTCTCTTCTGCATTGATTACCTCCTATTAGATAACTGTTGTAATTCACACGCCGATCTTATTTTAGACTGTTCTTATTATACAATTAGTTAGATTATTTCAGTTGATTATATCTGTTATAGCATGGTGGAGAGATGGAGCGAACGGGTATAAGTGTTTGGCCGAATTTCCATAATAAACACATTTATTTAAAAAAATATCATTAATAATAATAAATTTCATGCCTCAGCGCATCATTTGCATTTAGAATTAATTCGGTATTAATTCTGTATGCAAATAGCGTTTTAATATCAGAAAATCTAACCAAATTCGCTTAAAACGAACAATTTTGTATTCTCAAAACCATCGAACAAATTGCAGAACGCAATTCCCAAGATGGTTCGGGAAATCGGCCATTTGGTCAACCGCTCTGCATAGGCCTACCGTACTTAGAGAATGGCGAAAGCTTAGGGTCAAGTTCTCCTCCAACTCCGCCTTCACCCTCGCCTTCTAAAGGCAAACACAACGCCCTCTTCAAAAGAGACGTCAAATCCAAGAAATAATGAAATTTTAATTCTATTGAAAAGCAATCACTCTTGTACATAATCTTGTATTATAATGTATTATAAGGATACCTTCCTCAAAATTATATTTTTACAACAAGATTGTTGATGTTGATTTTATTCAGTGCTTGTTAAATTGGAATTAAAACATAATATCACACTAAATAATGAAGATAAAAATGACGCAACATCGTCCAAAGGCATGTAAGTCTTTTGCGGTTTGATTTTCAAAAATAAAAAAGTAACTAAAAGGATTTATAGAAGTGCGTTTGAAGAAGAATAACAAAATCCCCCAGATAATGATGTTAAAACCCCTCTAGCTTACAAAAAAATACGCTGCAAAATCCAATTTTTTTTCTTCCTCTCTGCCATCCCATAATTATTGTGATTTTTTTCGTTTTATTTTTTCTCTTTCTATTCATTGTTGCCTTTGTGCGTACTGCTACGTGCCCTCTTTTCTATTTTATAAATATTAGGTCAATGCATAATTATCTGCTATTTTATAAACAAAATTTATTAAAAAGGAAAAATAACAAAAATGTATTGTGGCATATATACCATCATCTCACTTATGTGACAAAACGTATATGAAATCATTTAAAAAGTTACAATTCTTGGATCAAATTCATTTTGTGAACAAATTTTGTTTAAAATGATTGCACAAAAGAATCTTGCAAGAGAGAAGGTAACCGAAGATACAAATGTCAATTGATAAAAGGTGGAAATAATGTTCAGATTCTAAACCATTTTCTTTTCTTTCAGTTTTCGTTCTAAATTAAACATTTCTTGAGTATCCTCGATATATGGTTGAATTCTTTGAGATTATCTTAAATGATCCATTTATCGAGTGTACCCGAATGCTGAACCCAACCCAATCTAGCAAGCCATTGTTCCAATTCTACAAGATTTTTGGTTATCAGCACTATTTTCCATTTGATGATTTTAGACAATAATTAAATTCATAAGTGAATATTGTAATTTCTGGCAGAAGCAATTTTGGTACCTTTCCAAGCTTTATAAGTGTATTTAATTAACCTTTGGATTCTTAAGCTTTCTCAAAAGTCATTTCATAGTTTCTGAAAATGGTTCAAGAAGTATTTTTGGCAACTAAAGTAACAAATAATTATGCACTAACCAATATATTTCGTTTACACGTGTGAAACGCTAGGTTTACACTTTCCCAGTCGCTTTCATAGAATTTGTAGACATCGATTCGCGAAAAAGAGTGTAAACATAGTAAAATGTGTTGTTGTTGTTTTTAATAGGAACAAGCATGCGAGGCTCCACAAGCGCTGTCAATATAAACCCCCAATATGGCACCAACAGCGTCGGTCGGTATCATGGGGTCATAGACCATAGACAGAGAATAGAAATTAGAAAAGAACGGGACAGGAATCACTCCTGTTCCCAATAGAAAAATTTTCTTTTTTAATTAATTAATTTGTCGTTTATTTCATTTGTGTGTTGAATGGTTTTAACGGCAGCAATCAATTTATGGTCATAGTTCACTCAAAAATATAGCCTAAATTGTATTTTGTAGTTGTGTTAAAGATGTTGAATTTTGAGTGAATTATGATTTCTTTATCAAAAATAAAAAGAAAAATGTACATAATCAAAAAATCTCGCAAAAATAGGTAAATTTGCCATATTATTATTTTGTTTTCTTAGCACTTACAGTTTTATTATAACTCAAACCCCGCATGCCCAATTTGAATGTTATTTATTTCTTCCTTTACTCACTATAACTGTATGTTAATGTTAATTTATTGTCTTGACGTGGTTTGCAAAATAAACCTATCGCAAAAAAATTACAATTTGACGTTCTTATTTTGCCAGCTCCCCATTCGCCGCGTCGCCAAAAGTTGAACTTGCGCATGAAGAGCTTATCGCTGGATTCGCCGGAAAGTACAGAACACGTCCAAAGGAGAAAACATCACGGTGCGCAGGCAACCAGCGATCCTCATTCAAACCAAAGCTCGTCATCGCGGATCCAATGTACGGATGTGCTTTCGAAGTGATCAAACCGCTTTAGAGCAGCGATCTACTACACACACTTTCTTCTTTCTGCCTTTAAGAAACTGGCGCTTTTTCTCTCTATGCATTGTAATATATGTTTTAATGCGACGTTTAATAAGCACGCTATTTTCTCCTTTAAATGTTTTAAAATTAAAGTATTAAAATTAACGACTTGGAAAAGTTTAGATAAAATTAAATTTTAACCACATAAAATTTCTAAGTCGATAAATGTTAAATTGTTAATTAAAAATACTAATCGTCCGCATGATTTTCCCAGTTTCAGTTCCTGAAAGATTCGTTCAAAGCTACGTAGCACGAAGTGACCTGAAATCTTTATCAAGTATGCACCTTCACATCAATTAAATATAAAAACAATTCAAAATAAACTATATGTACCTATCTCCTTGGCTATTTTTAATTAATTCAACAACACTATCTTTTAAACAAAAAAAAAACACCGATTTGCATGCTTGAATTTTCTTTCTCAAGATAAGTAATTGTATTTGATGTAGTGTTTCTTGGTAAATTTGTAATCATTTTCAGCTCCTTCAAGTCCTGTTCATAACAGACGTCTTCTTTCCGCTAAAAATATAAGGATGTCATCGGTTGAGCTTCCAGATGAAAATGAGAAAAGTCCTTCTTCAGCCAGTACATCGCCATGTCCTAGTCCAGTAGGAGCTAAGGTAATATTTTTTTTTAATAAAAAGATGGTTTAGTATTTTTTTATTAATACTTAAATTAAATAAATAATGTTTTTAATAATATTTTTACAAATTCTAATTTTACCGTCGTTGTGTAACGTTCACAAAAAATTCATCAAATTTTAAGTTAGTATTTAAGGTATTTTGAGCGATCCAAGTGTTCATTATTTTAATTATATCTTGAGATAATTCGTCTTTATGACTCCCAACAATTCCTTTTCTCATAAAACTTCCGGGGCATTCTTTGTACAATTTCATATTTTTAAAAGCCTCTATCATCGGCTGGAAATTCACCGCTTTATTTCTTTGCATATTTTCGAAACACAAATGCCTTTGTAATCCGGCAACTTGTTCCGTGTTCAGTTCTTTTCCAAGAAAATTCGCAACCTTTCTTATTGACGCCGGTAAGTTTTTTTTCATTTGTTCGTACGTCATTACGAGAAGATTCGTGTGAGATTGCTTCGTCCAATAACTCAGAATGTTACTCCAAAACGGAGTATATGGCACTGAAATCGTAAATATTTTAGTATTGAATCATCCAAGGTTACATTAAATCCTCATAATTGTTTTAGGATTACGTTGATATAGGTTAACATGCTAATATTATTACAATAAATTTTATCTATTCCGATAAAGATAAGAAATTACGCGGCGTTTGATGATTGAGAAATGTTTAAACAAATTACAGATACTTACTTGTATCTGATAAGAAAGCATTTACATCTTGTTCTAAAGTGTTTCTGTATCCGGGAAAAAGTTTTCCATGATGGTGATATGAAACGCAAATATCTTTCGGATTTCTTATTATATGAATTATCTAAAAATTATTTTTGCTTAATACGTTATAATTAAAAAGACATAAAGGATTACTTTAGGTTTTACTGATCCATTTTGAATTTGTAAAGGTAAAAGTTCCCAGGGAAGATGCGTTTTTATAAACCTTCTTTCTTCCATATTCGCTAATTCTCTAACAGAATTTGGAATGGATCCACATACTTCATCGGGAACAGAACGTAATCGATATTGTATTATTGGAGTGAATCTGCAATAAAAATTGTCGAAAGATGATATATTTTTTTTTTATTAATTTATTGTATTAATCATTACTCTAAGTAAGGAAATCGATAATTAAGATCCATCTTAGCGCCTTCGTAATCAAGGTTGTTTTCAATCAGCCAGACCATCTCTTGTAGCCACGTTGTGCCTGTTTATAAAGAGTTGAATGAATCATTATTAAGTGTTAGTCTGAAGAAGTAAAGAAAGTTAACAGAAATTGAGAGTTGTTTGAAAATGTCAAGGTAAAATTTATTTTTAATAATTTTATAAATTGTTCCTATTGTTTTATTAAACAAATTAATAATGATAAATTGAGTTAGTTACATTAATCTTCTCACTATAAATAACCTTTCATTAAGATTATCGTAGAATCTCTCATTATAATGGTTTAGCACCTTTCAAAATTTTCTTACTCACCAGTTTTAGGAAATCCTGTTAACCAAACATCGTCTTCTCTAACTTCAAATTGTTCGATATCATCCAAATAATTTTTAAATTCGCACGGCATAACGTATCCTTTATAATTTCTCAAAGAAGTATCCAACGTAGTTTTATTTTGGATAGAAAACAACTCAATTTTAGCTTTCGTTGTCATCTTTTTCAAAAAAAAATCACTTTGTCCACTAGTTTTGTTGTCTCACACACCTTATCTACACACTCACATCGACCATTATTATTGCGAACGTTTTCGAGCCGATCGCGAATTACTCTATGTGCAATCAACGCGTTTCGCTAATACTGATAAGCAAATTACCCAGATCTCAACAAAGTTTTTTTGTTATTTTTGGTCAGGTGTGTTGCATTGGCGATAATCTTTATTTGGCGATTGCAAACTAACATCTGAGCAATATTATGATCTCATCGGCGATATTTACCGAGTCGAGCTGTACAAGATCGTAATATTTACAAGGAGCGACAACACGTTCTCCATTCCTAAAAAGGTTGACGTTATTAACATACTTGTTTGTTTTTGTTCTGATCACTGATTATAATATTTCTCGTAGTCACATTGTCTTATAAATAAATCATATAATTTCTATGCATCAATTTTTTTGTGGAGATGTAATTTAGAAAGGCACAAAAATTAACTTGTATAATACAATTTAATTTAAAAATCAGAAATAAGCTAGGTCAATGAATACTAAAGGTGTAAGTTGTAATAAATTAAAGAAAGATAAGATTTAAATTTAAATATGTGATAAAAGAGTTTAAAATAGATAATTTGTAATATCTCGGAGTAAATGTAACAATGGAAAACGATAACAATGTTTTGGATTCGTTCATTTTCTTTATTAAACAATTTAATTGTTGTAATTTTTTAGATACAAAAGTCAATTAAATTTAATAGTTTTTAATGACTTTTTAATAACTTTAGTGGGCTCTTAATGACACATAGAATTAAAAAGTACAATTAATAATTTTAGAAAACTTCATGTTAATAAACAATTTAGAATTATTATTACATTCTATACAACATTTTATATTAACTTGGTAAAATATATATTAATTAATTTCTTGTGGTATTCATATTTACCGGTAAATGTAAACATTTCCCGAAATATATACATTCGCTGTATACAGATAGCTGTCAAAACATTCCAACCTCATTTCACCCTTTGAATGCCGAGTTGTTTCTGAGTTACCCACCAAAAACGATCCTACCACCAAATCTTAGAAACTCGAGTTTTATGGTAAAAGAGGCCAACAAGTAAATTTAATTAGATCTTACTTGATGGACAGACAACAGTCTGTTGAGTACAGTGGTAAAAGATCTCCAACCCAACCTTTGCTTCTTTCCTTGTTTTGCTCATGATATTAATATCGTCTCCGTATGTGCTGTTGGATGATTTTATTGACTTTTATTTGATTTTCATCTACAAGATGACATATTAAGTGTTAAGTTTAATAATGTTGGTGTCAACCCATCTTCCTGCTTTAGCCCCTGCGTGATGTTAACTGTTTCTGTTAACTGGTTTTGTATTCGAATACACTTTGAGATATCGTAATCACGAATTTTGAAAAAAATGAATTAAACATAAAATAATTTTTAAATTCTTTTGAATTAAACAAAATCAATAAGATGTGCTAAACATTTTAACAGTATGATAATTAATTCTAGAAATCGCACAGACTTCTCCCCACAAATCTCTACGTCGTGTTGTATAATTTTAAGTCGAGACATCAAGACGAGCTGGATTTGAAGGCAGGGTACAAGGTGACGGTGATAGATACTTCAGATCCAGACTGGTGGAAAGGGAAGTGTCTGGGGAGGGTTGGATATTTCCCATCGAAATACTGTTCCAAGCTTTCCCCCGGAGAAAAAGCACTGCAGGTACGTTTCTGATATTATCCTGAAAGATTAGAACTAGCCCGCGTTGAGCCTTTCTGTACATCTTTCCTCGGCTTTGATTTTCATTTTAGTTTTATTTCCATCAGACTTTTAATCCCCCGGATAATCTCTCAATACCAAAACAAATCCGATTCGCACACAAGTCATGCATTAAATTAAGCAATTTCGTCGATGTACTGTGTATAGGATATCAAACGAAGCTTTTTTGTTTTAATGCAATGCGATTAATTCATCAAGTGAAGCATTATGCCAAATGAGTCGTGCTTCGACCTACATACGCAGATTATGATATATTTAGTTCGTACTGATAATGGTTTCGAATCGAATCGAAACAATGCGACACGTTAATCTCTTACAGAGAATATCGATTAATTCGTTTTGTATATATATTTTTTTCTATTTTATAGGTAACACATAATCTGCAAGTATCTGATGGTGATAATGGGTTAATGTTATTGCGGGATCAAATAGTAATTCAAATCGGTGAAGAATTAGATGGAATGGTAATGATTCGTTCAGGAGATAATCGTCAAGGAATTTGCCCGATAAAATTTTTGCAAGAGGTGTGACATCGTTCTGAGGTGGCCTGTCAAGTGAATAATATGTGCACGTGCTTGTCGAACCCACCAAAGACCTTAGATAAAATTTATTATCCAGATCCAAAGGCCCCGGTAATGATAACCAATAATCCTCTTAGACAAAATAATACCGCATTAAAAAATTCGAATCATAAAAATTCAAATCACAACGTACACAATGTAATAAGAAGTGGTAATAACAACAGTAGCGCTCTCCAATATTATTACAATAACATCAACGGAAATAATAAAAGCAACGCTGCAACGAAAAATTTGGTTAAACAAACGAACGCCTTCGTCGATAAACGAAATGATTTTCATACAAAAGCACCCTTTTCGTCAACGAAAAGACCGTTATCGATTAGATTGGCGACTCCAAAACATGTAGCCAGTTTCTTTAATAGAGCGTTTCGAACGGATTCGCAAAAAAGGCCGTTATTATTCAATGGATCTAACAATAATTTGAGCATGATGAATGAGTTTCGACCAAACTTTCAAATTATTCCCGGGAAAAGTGGGTTGAAAATATCATCGATATATACGATCAGCGAGAATGTTGAGAAGTTCTCCTTGAAAAGTTCCATTTACCGAAACAAGAACCTGTACATCTCCTCAAATAGCAGACCGTTATTCGTTAGAAAGTAAATGGAAAGAAAAATATATTAAAGTAGATTTAATAAAATCACCGTAGTTTACCTATTTTTGTATGTGTTAGGGGCCTACCAAAAAAAAACTTAAAATTAAATGTGATCAAGCACCTTAAATATTTAGATTTTTTTTCTTACAATTTATGTCTTCAACTTTATTTATATACATTATATGTGTGCTACACTAGCAAAAAAAACCTATAAGTGTGGTAGTTACTTGTTGTAACTGAAAAAGTAACTTTATAAAAAGTGTTTATTGAATTAAAAAGAAAAAACACTTAATATAATAATTATTAATAATGTAATTATACTAAAGAATTATACTATATCTAATTTTAATTAGTAAATTTTAATTTTTTACTTTGTGTAATAGTTTAAAGAGATTTCCCATTTTGAACAAAATTCCAATCAGTATTAGGTCAATTTGACATAAAATCAACAAATAAATCTTAATTTCAAAGCAATAAGTGTTACTAAAGCAAGTAGCAATAATTTACCCCAAGAGAAACTAAAGGATTAGAAACAAAAGTATAAAAGACGAATTAAAACAAATACCTGAAATAGAAAACAAACAGCTGAGTATGGACACCTACTCAGAATGCCAGAAGAAAGAATTCCCAGAAGAGTAATGAAAATGAGAATAGTTGAAAAACGAAGGAGAGGCAGGCCAAGGATAAAATGGGAGAATGGAGTGGAGGAGATATTGCGCAAGAGAGGAAGAAGTGTGCAGGAAGTGAAGAATATGACAAGACGTAGTTTTAGACAACCCAACGCTGTGATGGTATTTAGGGGAAATGAGAAAGTAGAAGAAGAAGAAACTAAAAGCTTAAGCTTCACTTTGGGAAATCTCAATGTCATAATATAAGGCTTAAAAATATTTCATAAAAATTAATAATTATTCCACATTTATTTTGTTAAATACATAAAAAAAAATAAAAACTAAAGTCAAAAGTACAAGAACGTGCATTTTCCGTCTTTTAGTTTATTATTATTACTAATATTTACGATCGATTGTATATATAACTTTTTTTTCGCATAAAATGTACTAATTATACAATTGCGACCACATACACAAATAAATTTGAAAAAATAAAATTTTGAAAATTATAAAAAAATAGAAATTGCATTTTTATAAAGACTGCAAAATTTCGAAGACGCGTTTAATGAGTTGAATTTATAATTTCGTACAAATCGACCAATTTAAATCTAAAACTATTTAAATAAGGATTTAGATAACTTATAAATTCCCTTACGATATTTAGATAATGAAATTTAACGCTGCACTTTCGCACTATTATTGTTATTTAATGAAGGTATATGTATATCTGTTAAATCTGTGTTACCTATATCCAACAATCACTAATCCATTACAAAAATAAATAAATATTACATAAATCTAAATCATATTTATTTAATTTAAAAGAACCGCCATAAATAATCAGTCCTACCACCACACATTTTCTTAAATCACTAAATAATTTCATTAACTGTCAAATTGTATGAATGTCAACAATAACTTTTAAACATGGAATCAAAGCAAATACACGATATTGTTCCATTTTCTTCGTGTGTTAATCCTAGTTTTTGGCACAAACTAGCTAACTTAAAACTAGACGTGTATAAACTCGACGAAACAGCTTCCAAAGTTTGGGGTTATTATTCTAACCTCAATTGCCAAAACAAACCTTTACTTGAAGTGGATAGCACCTCCTTTAATAGGTAAAAATCACTTTTTTCGTCCTTTACAACTAATAATTAAATTTGCAGTGAATATACAGGAGTTAAATTTAGTTTGCCATACCATGGATTATTGATTAATAAAAACACAATTGAACAGTTTAAAGACTGCGATAAATTGGAAATATTGGCTAAAATGGGACAAAATATACAAGAAACTTTTAAAGATGATAGAGTAATTGAAGATCCATCTTTACTTAATAATTTTTTGGTTTTATCCCATGCTGTATGTACTTTATATAAGACATAACTTAATTTAAGGATGTTAATTTTTTTTTAAGGATTTGAAGAAGTATAATTTTTATTATTGGTTTGCTTTTCTGGCACACAATTTAATTGAAACTGAGATATTGAATGCAGTTTCTATCAGTTCTTTAATTAATGAAAATAAGGTAATTTTTTTATTATAAATTATATTTATAATAAATTTTATTTTATTATTTTTTTAGTTAGCAGATTTGTATAAAAAATACAGTGATTTATCTATAAATAACAAAACATACTTTATAATAAAAAATATAGATGATTTACATGTCCTAACATTAAAAGATGGTTTAAAACTAAATGATCTCAACAACTCTGAGTATTTATTTGCATTTTCTGATCCATCCGGTTTAAAAGAAAACCCTGGATGGCCAATTCGAAATTATATAATGTTTCTTTCTTTCCATTGGTAATTTAAAAAGATAAAATAATATTAATTCTTTTCTAAATTGCTCAAAATGTTATTGTAGCAAACAATTACAGAATAAGCGAGTAAAATTCGTGGGATTACGTTTGAAAGCAAAAGGACCAGAAATTTCTTGTTTGGAAAGTGTGATTTGGGAAGCTTTTATACCTAATTGTTTTCAATCTTTATCTGAAAGTGGAAAATCTTGGATTGGGTATGAAGTCAATGAAAGAGGTAAAATGGGACCTCGATTAGCTAAAATGAAAGATTCCATGTCACCAATGAGGTACTTTTTTGTTATTATTTATTTAAAAAAATAAATAAAATTGTTTATTTAGTTTAGCTGATTCAGCAGTTGATTTAAATTTGAAATTAATGAAATGGAGATTATTACCTGAAATTAATTTGGATAAAATTAAGGAGACTAAATGTCTTTTACTTGGAGCTGGTACTTTGGGTTGTTCAGTTGCTAGAAATCTTTTGGTAGGTTACTCCCCAGAAACCCACCAAGGTCTAAAACATCTCTCATTAATGTCTAAATTATTATGTTAACATTAATCTTAACTTTTTATTATCTTATTAGGGATGGGGCGTAAGAACAATTAATTTCGTTGATAATACCACAGTATCTTATTCAAATCCAGTAAGACAAAGTTTGTACACTTTTGAAGATAGCGCATCTAATAAATCTAAAGCTTTAGCAGCTGCAGAAAATCTTAAAAAGATCTTCCCTGGTGTTGTAAGTTACTTTTAAAATTCAATTTCTATATTTACAGTGTTTTAAGAGTGGTATATTAAACGTTTTTTTCCTAAAAACTTATTTTGATAGAAAATTGTAAGAGATGAATCTTGTTGTCTCATTTTGAAATATTATTAATGTTTATGTTATGTTATTCAACCAATTAATTTGATTTGTTTTTTAGAATTCTGAAGGTTATAACTTTACTATTCCAATGCCTGGTCATCCAGTCGGTCAAAGTTTATTAGATCACACAAAAGATTCTATAGAAAAAATCACAAATCTTATCCAAGAACACGACATCATTTTTCTACTTATGGATTCGCGAGAAAGTAGATGGTTACCTACAGTTTTAGGACGAACTATGCATAAAGTAATAATACAAAAGAAATATATACTTTTTTTTATTGAATATTCTTTTATGTATCTGTTAGATTGTTATTAATGCAGCGCTGGGTTTTGATACTTACTTAATAATGAGACATGGAGTAAAAGTATTAACAGAAAAAAAACTGGAGGGTGTTGATAAAACTTCTGAGTTAAAATGCGTCCCAGGAAGTCAACTTGGATGTTATTTTTGTAATGATATAACAGCACCTGGAGATGTAAGAAAATTATTATGATGGTGTATCTACAAAAGAATCAATAAATATTAAGAGATTTATTCTTTATTGAATTAGAAGAATAATAATCTAATCTTTGTTGATGTTTTTTAAATAACACTGTAGTAATACTTAACTGAAAAACTCTTAATTTTTAGTCATTAAAAGATCGAACTTTAGACCAACAATGCACAGTAACAAGACCAGGAGTTGCTAATATAGCTGGTGCTTTAGCTGTTGAACTTGCAATCTCTGTACTACAACATAAAGAAGGGTAAAATATAAAAAAAAATATTTTATAATAAATTTTAATTAATTACTTATTTTTAAATTAGACCTGGAGCCCCAGCTTTTTATACAACTTCAAAATCTGCTGATATAAGTCGTGAAAATGAGACGTCTTTAGGTATTTTACCACATTCAATACGAGGTTTTCTTTCGCTTTTTACTCACATTTTACCCGCAACTGAACGTTATAACCAATGCATTGCTTGTTCTGACGTTGTAATCAATGAAATCTTAGAAGGGGGTACAGATTTTATAATAAAGGTCTGCAACGATTCGAAATATTTAGAGGAATTAACCGGATTAAGTAAAATGTATTCTGAAAACTTAAACATGGAGGTTTGTATCGAAAATTATTTAATTCGTGTATTAATAACTTATTTTTGTTTATAGGAATGGGATCTCAGTGAAACAGAAGACTAAAAAATAAGGCTGATTGAAAATACTTTTGTGCCTAGTTCAATATGAGAGCTTAAAAAATTTATATTGCTAAATTATATTTATTTTGTTGATTATTTTATATATTTAAGCATTTAAATTTGTGCTTTAACTAAAAAGAATTATAATAGAGCTTATAAGCACAACTCATTTGCTTATTTATTTTCATAAAATTCACTTATATCTATTAAAGACATCAAAAGACTGATTTGAAGCTTTTTAAAAGCTAAATTTGCACTTTATAATGAGAGTAAATCACATTTTTACATAAAACGATTTAATAAATGTGTTAATTAAAACATAATTGTTGATTTTTTTAATTAAAAATAATACAGCATGAGTCGTTGAATTTAAAAACAGTTTTATTAAAAGCTTTCTTTGCGCAAACGCATAAAATTAGTAAAAAGTTTCGATAGAATTCACTGAGTATAGGAAAATAAAAGGGGAATTCCATCGTTTCAAACTGGTTTTATACTCAAAACTACTTTCCGAACTTGAAATCACCGATGCGATGCGAAAAATTGTCCAATGAGCGAAAAGACGCGTTCACAAAGCATCGTCTTGTTTATATGTAGTCGCGAGTTGCGTTTGTTGAAATAAAACATGAATTTGCCGATTATATCGCTTAAAACGGTTAAAATACAAATTGAAATGTAGATTTGTTAATTTGAAGTAGTGAAACTCTGTGGCGGGTACAAGAGATAGCGCTAGTTGTGCCGTATAAAGCGGGCTGCGCAGTAGAAAGGTTTGTCGGTAGAGGCGCCAAACAAATATTTCGGATTCTTGGCATACCGCAATTGCAGGTTTGACCGAAATGTCAAATTCTTCACAGAGTTTTGCTTGTTAGTGCAGTAAATAGTGTCAATAAAGGGGTTTAAAGGTGTTTTCGTGTCGTTCGAGTGACGGCTGATCTGATTTGTGTTATAACCTTGTGGGTAAGTTAAAGAATTTTCTAAGGGGTTGAATAAAACACGTGATACAAGAGCGAGTATTGATTTTTGGGGTGGTATTTAAATGGTTTTAGAGATAGGGGCGGTTGTTGAAGGTCCCTTATCGTTGTGAAAGACGAGTGTCGTCATTGTCGCTAATTATTTGGCACGAGGACTGGCGCAGTTTTTCAATTTAATTGACGACATTCCTTTGAAACGCGTACCGCGAAGACGCAGTATGTTTATTTTATTGTTAATTTACCGGTTGTTTTCGCGTTTTCGCTTGAATCTCTTGTAAATGGATCGATCGTCACCGTCGAGAAAAACGATTGACGGTATTGGAATTCCAATTATTTTGCGCAATTGAGGTCACCAATTTTCACAGTTTCTTTCCCGCTCCGGTTCGATCGACCACGCTTCGAAATCTTATCGGTGTGTATTTATTAATAATTTTTTTCGTAAAATGCGATGTTAAATATTTGCTTCGGTTGTTTACATTCCCTGTGGAAAGAGTTTTTTTTTTCAAAATACTCTACGACACTGTGTTTATCTGCGATAATATTAATTTATGATAAAAGATTATCTACTCGGCGGGAATGTCCACAAATTGAGTCCGTATCTAAAATATTTTGGTGTCATCGTTCAAAACTTTTCTATCCAGACAAAACTAATTTTATTCATGTTTATGTTACAGTTTTACATTCATTTTAGAACTCAGCATTTATGTTTTTACGAATCAACTATAAACTACAAAAAATTCCTCTACTAACATATTATACTGAATATTGACAAATAATGTATTAAATGAAAATATCAAAAACACTTATATTAAAGCGATATAACAAAATTTTATTTTTTTTAGGTTTGTTTTCATTCTCGAGATAATTATCATTAATGTTCAAAACTAAAATTCCTTAATCGGGTTTAATTTATGATGTGTCAATATGCTTGCTACCAATTGATTTCGATATCAATATTTCGGCTTTATTTGCATAAATTTTATCTCTTTAATATTACCCCCACAAAAATTCTAGTCACAAGAGGTGAGATCAAAAGAATCTGGCGGCGAAGCGGTTCCTATTCAAGTAACCTTTGAACCTCCAAAGCTAGAAAGTGCTCTGGCGCATCAACTCCTATTTCTTTTGTTGAGTGCTATCCTTTTTTATATTTCCTCAGTTGATTATGCTACTCTGGTATAATATTAATATATCCATACTCCTCACCTCGGTGTTAATCTCCCTCCAACACTCCCAAAATTTGAAAGTTGCTCCAGCACGTTATCGCCCTTTTGTCTACTTCCACTTTCAAATTTCTTTAATCTTCCATAGCTTCAACACATCTTTAATTGTATATCCCGCAGGCTTTCTGCTCAACCCCAGGGCCCAGTTCAAATATCTTATCTGGATCTCCCCCTCCGTATTTCCAAAATGGGCCTTCATATCTTGGGGTTAAATAGGCTTGAATCCCGTTAATTTTGAGAAAACAGAATTTGAGGGAAATAAATTTTTATGGTAAAATTTTTGCTTTCAATGAAAAACTGTATTGACAGGTTTCAAACAAGAGAATGTTTCATGTCAAGCTAGAAAGCAATGGATCAGACTCCAGAGATTGTTGATTATTGATGAAAAATTCTCCGGGAAGCCTAAGTGGTTGACTGTATACAAGTTCGGGTCTTTCTTAAGAGATGATCAAACATCACAGCCAACCTCATTTTGAATATGTAATCATGTAAAAATTATTATTTATTTATGTACATATATTTTATTATTAGAAGTTCTGCAGTACACAGTAACTAAATCTTTCTCCTTTCAAATACCTTTTATACAAGGGAAGATCATTGTTCGACCTGGTAGTGTTACCCCTGGCTGTGATGGCTGTTTTCAAGGAATGGTGAAATCTCTCTTAAATTCTGTTGCTATACGGATGGAAAGTAGATTTGTGAATTTGACGCGTGTCGAGAAGAGTAAAATTTTGGAAAGAGTTTTGCTTCAACGTTGAATTACGGTGTGTACATGAGATTGTATATTTTTTGATACATATTTTGGTACTGAAATTTTGCTAACAAATGATTTTGTGTATTTGTGTACTTTTGCTTGTTGGCATAGCAAACAGGTTTTTTTATTTTGATGATGTTTGTAGTTGTGCGAATACCAGGATATGTTAAGTTGTGAAATTTCGTAAAAGTTATTTTACTAAATTTTTGTGGTATGTATATGCGAGGATTGTTTCTTGAGAGGTCGTACCAAAGCTTTACATCTGATTGTGATGAAAACAAGCGTGTAGATATATAAATTATTATTGATACGTCAATTATTCCATTAATAAACATTAATTCCATTGTCCTTCATTCATTCTATTGGCCCGAAAAGGTCGATCTGCGTTTTACATGAACCATATCTTGTTGAAATCTGGGTCATTTCAAATAGTAGTCACTTTAAACAGTTAATCGTGACATGGGGAATTTCAGTACTTCCATATTCATATCAAATATTTGTTTGTCAATCTCAACAGTATTGAGAGTAGTGTTGGCGAAACAATATTCAATGGCTGATATTTTCATGGCAGTATTCACACCTGCTTGGTGACCAACATTACCAACACTGTCATCATAAACACACTACCAGAAACGTTTTAATCAAATTTTCATCTTTGATAGCTGTAACACATGATTAGGTTGTTTTGAAGTTATACTCTCTGTTGCCTTTAATTCCCTTTGAGCAGCAATCGGACTGTTATTGCCAGTAGGTCTTCGCGATTTATGAACAATTCGGGTGCATATGCTAAAAGATTCCAAAAATGGCTCTGAAAAAAGGTGGAAAAATTTAGCATTTCATAGGCAACAAAAACCATCTACATCGCAAAGTAAATAACAGATCAATTGAACAGAAGACAAACTGCTTACTAAATAAACTGTAAATATTGCAAATACTCCAAAGTCAAAGTTTTGGCTATCTACGAAATCTCTCAAAATATTCACATGTTGGGATTTTCACAGGATCTAGCTACTTCTTAATTATGCAAATTGAAACATGCAACAACTTTATTCATTATATGAAGAAAAATGAGAGACATATCGTTGGTTTTAATATCATAGTTAGATAATAGTGTTATTGTTCAAAACAGCACTGAATATAGATAAAAGAGAAATTAACTTTTTTATTAATTGGGGTGGATTAATCTATTAATAGATGAGAGACTAAACACACCCACGAAAGGTATTTCAAACTGCGCTGGCAGTATACAGGAAATAGGGGAGACCCCGAATCGCAGGGAAGGATAACAGCATATGGGTGTTGGCAAGGAAATAAGGAATAACCAAATGATGCTGTAAACAATAATGATTTTTATTAAGATTCTTTATCTATAATTATTTATATCTACTAAATCGTATGTATCTCTACGAATAGGTGTCGTTTAGAAACTTTCTTAATTACAATTTTAAATGTTGAATTTTTTCCTCGAAAACCATTTTAAAGCACAAAATAGATGGTTTCTAAGAATTCTTGAGAAGGTATATTTTTTAAGTTGTTTCAACATCTGGTAAACAAAAACTTGTACAGGAATGTGTTGGGTAAGGAACACACAAAAGAGACAAAAACACGTGGTAGCGGCACCACAACACGAATAATTTCGTCCGCATGTTCCAGTAAAATGGTTGTTGCTTATGCGTACGTCGTTGGAGTTCGATGCCAACTCAAATATCGCTACGTATTTACTTCAGAGTCGTTTATAATTAGTAGGAAACCACGGTAAAATGTCATTATTGAATTATTTACGACCATATTTGCAGCTTGCGCTAATATTTACTGCACAGGCACGTTCGACTGGCAATAAACTTTAACCAATTGTAACTGTATTAAAATAAAATTGTCGCGTTATATGTAACTTACTTACCGATCATTGTTTATAATCAAAAGTTTGCTGAAAGTAAAAAACATCAAAAGTTATTTGTGTGTAGGCACAATTAAAACTTACATAAGCATATAATAACAAAATTACAGATACTTATAGCTTTTTTTATTGTGAAGGTACGTAACATTAATTGTTCATCGTGTAACGTAATTATATTTTTCAAAATAACATTACAGAACCTTCTTGTAATATAAGGCATGAATGAAGAATGCATATCCAATGTCAATGCTAATACAATATGGTAATTGACGCAAACAGATAAGTGGGTGACAAATCGTGCAATTTAATGTTTTGATTGTGGAATTTCTG